ACACACACACACACACACACACACACACACACACACACACACACACACAAAGAAACCATTTTTTTTAACTTAAAGGCCAGAAATCTACAGTATATCATTTTAAGTATAATCCTATAGAAAAAAAGATGTTTTGCAGAAATTAGGCTACCTTTATGATGAAATTTAATTAGCGACACTTTTAATAATCTACACGTTATTAATCTGTTCCCTAAAATTTATTTTGATGTGATACAAATTATTATCCTGAAGGAATCCTCCCAGTAGAGGTACTTCTAAAAAAGAGGTATTCCTTCAAGGTTTGCTAAATTTCCAGTTATGTTAGATTAACTACTTAGGAAGTCTCTATATAGTTAAAATCTGGAACAAATGATTAAATGAGAATTTGTACATTATAATCATGAAACACAGGACTTATGGTGTTAACTTTATTACAGAGAATTGCTGTGGCTCACATCAGAAATTGAATCCTTCCAAAATGGGTGGGCTGATGAATAGCCCAAATTTGACTTCCAAACTCTATTAGTTACGAGTGTGCCAAGAATGGATTTCTTCCCTCCCCCCACTGGCCCCCACCAGGACTTGGGGCAGCCAAGAGGAATCTGGGATGATGGGAATTTCTTGGCTGCTTATCTCTGCCTCTTTATCTGTTTCCCCCAGTGCCCCCCAAACATGTGTTTTGTTTATGCCATTATGTGACAAAGTTGGAAAGACTTTGTTCTTAAATTGTTCTGATTTCTGTTGTTCATAATTTTATGATCAGTTGATCGATGCCTTCCAAAATATTACATGTACCCACTCTTCTTAAATACAAAAAGATCTCATGAAGCAGCAGCATTATCGTTGTCTGCTTTGAAAGAGCTAAAATTAAGTTTTCCATTCCTTCTAGATTTCTGGCCCAAGGTGACTTAAAAATAGTTTTAATAAACATTTAGACCATCATGTATTTTGTAATACAGTCAGGTCACTGCCGATTCCTAAGATAAATGTGTTTAAACAGAAGCTTTCTCATTCATCAGCAGCCTCAGCTTTCATCTAAATTTATTTAATGATGATGCAAGCCCATAGTGTTGGTGTTACAGTTCGTCACCATGGAAGTGTTTCTGTCAACAAATCCTTGCTTTACTATCATGAAATTGATTTTGCAGGGGCAAGGAGGATAATTGTGAAAGCTTCTTTTTACTCTTAAAGATCTTCACAGTTTGCCTGGATGTCTAAATGGATTGTATTTAAAATCAGTAACTGGCAATAAAATTGACCACACTAAATTAATACTTATGAGGTTAGAAAAGGGGAAATGGCAGTAAGCTACTTTGTCTGAAATCGTCTTCTGGGAATGTGACTAGGGGACCAGACTTGTAATGTAAAATGTTCCCTGAAAGCTGTTATTCTCTGCTCAGAAGTATGGATTATGCCCAGGGAGTCCCGTAACAGAATTTCTAGGATGATTTGGCTGAGTTTTTCTCATCTATCTTGTAAATGGCATAATAATCACAGAAGAAATTCATAGTATATTACTTCTTTCAACTAATATAGTGTATTTTTTTTAAATATGTCTTTTCTATAACTTAAGTTCATAACTATCTTTGGCTTTTATTTGCTTGTTGAGAGGTTAAAAAAACAAACTAAGCTTCTGAATGCAGACCTCTTATGAGCAGGGTAAGTAGCACCTACATTAAGTAATTCAAACTGTTTTGGGAACCACATAGGAAAAAGAAACAAGAATGACTTTTTTTTGCTTTGAAGCAGGGTGTTCAGGAGCTTATGTCACAGTGGCTGAAGCACTAAGTAAATTTGGTTGTAGTCATATATGTTTTGTGGGAGTTTTGATCTCTGGTAGAAATACAGTCAGCTTTTGATTGTCAAGGTGACTATATTTCCAAATGTACTTTCTTTGGCTTCCTGTCACATGTAAGAGCTTTTTAATTTGACCATCTGCTTATATGTGCTCACAAAAATCAGAAGTATTCAATAGTATTTTATTTCATTATCAGTAAACATTTAAGTTCCTAATATATTCTAAGCAATGTGCTGGCCTCTAGAGATACTGAGATACATATCCCAAGCATGAAGTTATGTTTGCTTCTGAAAGATCTTATAGTTCACTTTGAAATCAAAGAGATGTAATTTTTATTTATTTGAACCACTTTTTCCTCCTCCTAATTAGAAGTTGACCGTAAATGGGACATAGGTCCTGTTTGTTTTTAAAGAAGAATTAATAGAGATTATAAGCAAAAGATAAAATTCTATTGTACATGCAGAAATATAACACAGAATGACCAAAAGAAAATTCAGCAAGCAATGGTAAAAATAACAAATTATTTACTGCTTTATAATGTTAAAGTATTTCACCAAGACAAGTTGCAGTCAAATTAAAGTGGGTTATGGAAAATGAAATACATAAAGATGTATTTATACAAGTGCAGACTAAATATTTTCCATACAGGTATGTAAATGAAAAGATATACAGTAAGTGCACACTTGATATGACTATGCAGGCAACAGTTAGTTTCAGTATTCTTGTATAGTTCATGCACAAACCTTCCCAAAGTACGAGTTCAGCCTTTGGGGTATATGGAGGGATGATTAAAAAAGGACTGAGTTTCTTGCAAAAATATCAGTATGGACTAGATGAGGGTAAGTGTGGTCAGTTATATATATTACTTACTGTAATTTGTGATTGTCGAGGAAGAGGTGTGGCTGTTGGTGTGATAGTAATACTGCTGGTGACTTTATTGGTTGTTTTGTTTAGTGCCCCATTAGTTAAGCCTTGAGTTCGGTTATCCTGCAGTGGTGCCGAAGGGCTGGCAGGTCTCACAGGGCTGGCTACAGCTTGCATGTAAGGACTTCCTAAGTGAATGTGGATTTTATTATCCTCAGTAGTTATCACACTTGAACTGTTACTGTTTGAACGTTGAAACTGCCATGATGACTGCCGGTCTGGGGAGACTCTGAATATCGCATGCTTGGCACTGATTTCTATTGGTTCTGGGGAGCGTCCCTGCTCAGGAGAGCTAACTGAACCAGTCACAGCCAAAACCTGAATAGGGGACATTGTCCTTTCTGGAGTTAGAGAACCACAAGACTCTGGGGTCTGTGCTCTGGCAAAGGTTGCCATGGAAATTGGGGACATGCCTTGTTCTAAATTCATGAGGTCTTCAGTCGAGGTTTTGGATTTTACTGGTGTTATGGAGGCGTTTTGGAGGATGGTTATCCTTTGCTTTGGGGTGCCACAGTTCGGTATCACTGCCGTACTCGTGTAAGAGTGAGGACTCTCTGTGGTCGGACTTGTGATTTCAAGAGTGGCTGTGTTTTGTACGTGGTCTGGAGTAACCTTTATATGAAGTGGCTGCCCAGGTGTGTGGCTTAGGACTAGATCTCCAGGTTGCACAAAGTTGGCATTGGGTTTAGTTTGTATTTTTCCATTCTGAAGATGGCCCTCCTTGGATTTCATCCAAGGAATCCATAGCTTCCTGTTAACAGGACATGGAGTAGACTGGCTGCATTTAAAGGACAGCACAGATCCCTCATCATTGGGATCCTCGTCTTGATCCTCACTCTCCTCATATAACTGACCATTGATGACTGCACGTTCCAGAGGAATGAGGCTCTTGTAATCAGGTGGTTCATTGTCTACTGCTTCTGTCTGAACTTCTTTAGAAAATACTTGAGGATCTGAAATTCTTCTTCCATTGAGACTAGGCCTGAGGCTCTTACTGAAATGCCGGTACCTCTCTAACTCCTTAGTGAGGTTTTCAATCTCTCTTCCTAAATCTCTGTTCCTGTTTTCTTGTTGATTTAACCTTTTTTGCAGGACTGAGTGATCTCCCTGGAGGTGACATATTAGGTCTTCAGTTGCCATGTATTCATGAATTTTCTCTTTTAACGCATCCACTTCTCTTGAGAGGTGCCCTGACTTAGCTTCTTCTTCTTGAAGCCGTTTGAAAAGCCACTGTTCGTGTCTGGACTCTGTCTTTTCTGCTAACTTGTACTTAGCAAGTTCCATTTTAACATGTTCCAATTCTTCAGATAAAAATTTAGCTTTGTCTTGTTCATTAGCATACCTTCGTTCTAGAGTCTCATACTCATCTTCTGTTTTCATGAGGTCATCCTCAATGGCTTTCATGTCCTTTAGCTTCAGTTTCAGTCTTTCTACTTCTTGAGAGAGTTCCTTAATCTTATTGTTTTCTTGGTGTAATACTGTTGTGGATTTCCCAGAGTCTTGATTTAATTTGTTTTTTAGAAAATCTTTTTCAATTGCTTCCAATGATTGAAGCCTATTTTTCAACATGTTAACTTTTGACAGGAGATCATTTCCTTTCTCTACTTCCGCTTTCAATTTGTTTTTTAAATCATCTCTCTCCTTGGTTACGCTGTACATCTTTTCTTCTACGTCGGTTTTGGACTTGAGCGCCATTTTAGTTTCCTCAATTAACTTCTCAGTAACTGCTGTTACTTTATTTTGCTCCATTTGAAGCTGAGAAGAAGCGGCTTGTAATTTATCTTCAGTTTGCTTTAATTTTTCACTCATTGTTTTCCGTTCGTCTACAAACATCACAGTTAATGTTTTCAGTTTAGTTAAATCCTCTTTTAGAGTGAATTCTGTCTGTTCCAGCCGACTTTCAATGGCTTCTAGCTCTTTAATCCTTACTTTTAAACTCTCCAGTTCTTGAGACAACTGCTTTGTGGTCATCCTTTCCTTTTCTAAATTGCATTTCAGAGAGTAGCATTCTTGTTTGCTTTTGTTGAAAGCGTCTTCTAACTTTTCCAGAGCCATAATTCTTTTACTGAGTTTTTCCACCTCTAGTTTAAAGTCTTTACTCTGTGACGTCTCCTTTTCAAGCCTCTTATTGAGATCTCTGCACTGCTCCTCCATTTTTATGAGCTCTTCATCTTTCCCTTCCATATCTAGCACACGTTTCCTGAGCTCTTCGACTTCAGCCATGATGCCAGCGTTTCCATATTCTCCCTTACTGATTTTTTCTTTTATATCCTGCAGCTCCTCTTCTGCTTTTCGTAAAGACCTGTTTGTCTCTTCTAACTCATCAATCTGCCGGCTGAGTGTTGCAAGCTTTTGTTGAAGCTGGCGATTTTGACTGTCCTCATTGGTGAGCTTCGCCATAATTGTGTCTTGGTCCTGGTGAAACTTAGTGGTCTGCGTTTGCAGTTCCTTCTCTAGTCTGTTTGCCTTCTGCTCTTCCTCCTGAACTCTGGCTTCAGCAAGGGCTAGCTTGGTATGTGTTTCCTTTGCATTTGTGGTCAGCTCTTGGATCTTCTGTCTTTGAAAGGTAAGCTGTGCTGTCAGTCTTTGTTGTTCGTCCACCACCATCAAAGCAAAAGACTTCAGCTTGGTCAGCTCCTCTTTCAGGGTGGTGACCCTCTTCTCCTTTTCTTGCTCCTTCTCTTCCTGAGACTTGGTTTCTTGATCAATTAGCTTCTTTAATCTGAAAAATGTAAAGTGTATTTTATTTTGTGATTGAGGCTTTAGTAACTCATCAACTATAGTTAAATACATATGTAATTTAGAACTTATGTAATTATAAGAACTGTGTCAGTCCATATAGGATATGCAAAAGAGTTCCTGAATTTGATGAGGGAGGAAATCTTGATATCAGTTATCTTGCTTTTTTATTTCACCACCATTGATCAGTAACAGCTGCATTTCACCAGAAGCCTTAGTAAAAGAATAAGGGCAAGAATATTCGGTTTAAATTGCCTGGGTAACATATAATTAGTAGGCAGTCTGGCCCGAAGGCTATGAAAATAGGCACAAGCTTGAGATGATACAGTTAGACCTGGCTTCAAGACTGACCTTACTCTTACCAGCTAATTGATGTGGGCAGTTATTTGACATCTCTGAGCCTCAATATCCTCATATGAAAAATGGGGACAATCATTATATTTACTTCAGGGGCTTTTTATGAAAAATGAGGTAATTCATCTGAGATTCTCCTTGTCCTAGCACATGGTAAGCATTTGGTATAGTTGTTGCTGCTATACTTTTTTTTTATTAATATGGTTATTATACTTATCAAATGGTTTGCTTGAACCAAAGTATGTCGTGAATTAATGTTTGATGTTCACCTCCTTGTTTTGTAGTTAAGAGAAATCTATTCACATCGTTTAGAAGTTATGTACTTTACTGATGGACCTCTGTGCCAATTAAAACTTGGTTTACACTAGCACAACATTATTCTAGGAACCACTTCACATATATCTTATCCTCATAGTGGATAGCAGTTAAATGAGGAGAATTGAGAGGCATCTGTATGGGTTTGGGGTTTTCATAACATTTGAGAAGAGCATGTGGAAAAGGAAAGTGGTTATTGATGAGAGTCTGGTGCTAGACATGACAGAAGAGAAACTGTTATCAGGAACATAGTAATTCCGTCTTAAATGACAACTACTATGACATACTATTTCCTTGTTTTATGTTTTAAATTTGTCAGCATAACAGGAGGGTATTTTACATGTAGTGTAAACTATCTTCCACCTCAGTAGTGAGGTCAAAGTTTTAAATTTGTGGCACTCTTAATTATACTGCGAATGGGCTGATTACAGAGAATGTAATTACAGTTTTGCAGTACTGTAATACAGAAGCTAAAATAGAATGGAATCCCTCAGAAGTTGAACCAAAGGACTTGTCATGGATGAAGTTATAAACATTTACATTCTGATAGGTATAAAGAATTCATAATACTTTAATGTATCTTTTCTATTAGGAATGAGTTAATTATCCAGTGTATGTCTTTCATCCTTATCACAGAACTTACTTTTTGAAAGTTGTGTAAGAATTTGAGAGAAATTTTTTCTTTTCTTTTTTTTTTTTCCTTTTCCTATGACTCCCTGCTTCAAGTTACTCTCCTGCCTCAGCCTCCCAAGTAGCTGGGATTACAGGCATGCGCCACCATGGCCAGGTAATTTTTGTATTTTTAGTAGAGACGGGGTTTCACCATGTTGGCCAGGATCGTCTCAATCTCCTGACTGCATGATACACCCGCCTTAGACTCCCAAAGTGCTGGCTCCAGGCCGAGAGAACATTTTAAAAGGAAACTAATTTAGGGTTATCTTCTTGGAAATAGAGTCCTTCTTTTTGAGATTCTAATCTGCTCTTTTCTGTAATTACACTACACAGACATCTAAATGTGTCTAAAATAATCATGTAAGAATTCTCAAACTTTTTTGTGGGAGTCCACTTTAAGTTTTTTTCTGTTTTGAGAACTTAACAAGAGGCTGGCCTCAGGGCTGTGGCTTGTAAAATTCAGAAGAGGTTAGGCAGGATGCTGGGGTGTGGTTATGATGCTCTCATCCGTGGCCTTGGCAAAAGGCTTGCCCATGGCTTCTGGCCATGCCCCATTCCTATTTGAGACACGTGAGAGCCTGAAAAGATAAGCATGGCAGCGTCTTCATGAATGGTCATGGGACTTCTCAACCCAATGGCAGAGTCCACAAGTAAACTGCTTTGGTGGTGAAATTGTTAAAAAAAAAAACTTTGGCAGAATGCTTCTTCCTCCTGCCTTAGAATTAGAATTCATTTGATTTAATGATTTTGACAATGCCTTGAGCATAATTACAGTGAAATATTTTCCCCTCTCTACACCACAGTTCTTACAGTTTTATTAGAGAACAGTTTCACAAAAATTTTTAAGTATTTATTTTCAACTTATTAAATCATAGCATGTGCTATTTCATTTTTATGAGAAGGAAGCGTGTTTTCTTAGGATATAAGGGAGGGAAGACTCTTTTCAGTATAATAAAAAGAGTATTAAAAAAGAATGATGATTAGTGAATGCAGTGCAGTAACCTGCAAAAAAAGGTTTAGAAAAAAATTTCAGTTGCTTCCATTTTGTTCAGTGTTTTTGGAGCAGGCATGATGCATATTTTTCAGCATGATGCAAACATAAGCATCTTTTTCATGGTTTTTGTAAATTGGTTGGCATCTCCATATGTTCCCTAAGCTCTATCTGATTATTTGAACACATTTTCTCTAAGCATTTCCTTACTACTTGTTTTCCAATAACGTGCTATTTCCCTGGGCCACTCTCATGTGCCCACCACAGGACAGTCAGCTGTCTAGTCTGGTAAAGGCTGTCGGGAAGGGAAACAGGAGTTGATATGCAGAAAAAACTATACCCCTAGCCATCAACTTGGGAGCTTAGGACAAGGAACCAGTGGGAAACTGAGAGCAGGAGGCCTGCAATGTTTTCAGAGCCAGCAGGATGCATGTAATGCTGTTACACTTTGTGTGGTTGTGTACGTGTGTGAGAGAGGGAAAGAGTTGGTTATACTACTGAATTTGGAGGAATCAGCACTTTTGATAGTGATGAATGGGCAACCCTAAATCATTATTACTTGCCTTATATCCAGGAACATTTGAAGGTTGAAGTTTGAGGCTAGTTTTTGGTCTTGAAGAAAGCACAAGGTGAGGAGGCTGTGGAGTTGAGCCTCCTAAGCCTGCTTCCTACTTTGAGTAGGAATGGACTTTAGATAACACAGTAACTTAATTTTCTGTCACCATTACTCAATTATTTTTCTTTACAGATTAACAGGATTTAGCATTGATACTGGCTTCATATGCTAATACAGGTTATCATGAACTCTTTGCTAGCTTTTAACCAGGGTTTTTATAATCTTCAAAGTAGCATAGACCTTGAGGTGCAGAACTCTGCAGATCTAAAATTCATTCCCTAACAGCTGCATTGTCAAATTATGACCCTTTTTCCATTAATAGTTCTAGTTTATGTGCCTTTATGCAGGGATAATGTATGTCAGGGTTTCTCCATCTTCAGCATTATTGACATTAGGAGCCAGAAAATTTTTTCATCGTGGAGGTTATCTTGTGCACTTCATGATGTTTAGCAGCATCCCTTTGTCATGAATTTTAAATGTTTCCATGCCAGATGCCGTGGCTCACACCTATAATCCCAGCACTTTGGGAGGCCAAGGTGGGTGGATCACGAGGTCAGGAGATCGAGACCATCCAGGTCAACATGGTGAAACCCCGTCTCTACTAAAAAAATACAAAAATTAGCTGGGCATGGTGGCACAGCCTGTAGTCCCAGCTACTTGCGAGGCTGAGGCAGGAGAATTGCCTGAACCCAGGAGGCGGAGGTTGCGGTGAGCTGAGATCGCACCATTGCACTCCAGCCTGGGTAATCAGCGAAACTCCGTCTCAAAAAAAAAAAAAAAAAAAAAAGTTTCCAGACATTGTCAAATGTTTCCTGGGGGGCAGTCATTTCCAATTGAGAACTACTGATCTATGCATGTGTATGTATGTGTATGTTTGTGGCATGTGTGTATGTCAGTCTGTCAGCAGAAGTTAGACTCCATTGTTTTGCCTTACTCAGCTTTAATTAAACAGGTGCAACAGAGAGCTCCCACCTAAACTACATGTGTGATATTACCTTTCCTGCTAGTGGCCATGCTTTACCAGTGCTTCTCACAGTTTAAAGTGCATTTGAATCACATGGGAATCTTGTTAAACTGCAGATTCCAATTCAGTAGGTCTGGGGTGGGCCTCACAATTTGCATTATAACAAACTCCCAGATGATGCCAAATCTCCTGGCCCTCACACTGACTGTGGGTAACAAGGCTTTGCCATTTACATTTCAGATGTTTCCTGGAAATGAGATACCATTTGAATATTAACTCTGCCAACTGTTTGTTATTGATTTATACCCAATCTGCAGTACCACAGCCTGTATTCCTGACCTACATGACCACCCATTTTTTTCAAAAAAAAAAAAAAAAAAAAAAAAAAAAAAAAAAAAATCAGGTGGGAGAATATTACTAAATTAACTAAAATCTGTCCACATTTTTGGAGAACAACGTGACTCAAAATGCATAGCATAGTTGGTGGGTCAGAAGCTACATTTTCATGCAAAAAGAGCACGAAATGATTTTAGTTCCAATTTGTGGTTTTACTCACACAGCACAAAGACTAAAATATAGGAGGCTATATAATAGCTGCCATTCTTTACTTAGTGCCAGTGATGTGTTGCCAAGCACTGAGCTGAGTCTGTGCATCTGTCAGTTCTAATCTCATGATAAATTTTCAGGGTTTGGGATTATCTCCATTTTATAGCTGTGAAAATCGAGGCTTAGAAGGATCAGGAAGGAGCAAAGCCTGTGCTATTTCTCCACATTACATTGCAGAGAGCACAAACCATTGCATAGGGCTGGTCCACGTACAAGGGTTTTTATCAAGAACACTCTGAATGGAGAAACTATCAACTGAAAATATCTTACTTATGCGTTTGTATTCTTCTTGGTGTATATCCCTCAGAGTAGGGGTTTTTAAATGTTTGTTCTTATATGTGCTAAAAGAATGTTAAAAAACTAAGTACTCTTTTTCACATTTTTTAACTGGCATCCAGATTTTTTCATTCAATGTTTAAATAGTTGCAAAAGGATACATTTTAACATTTGCCATAGTCCTCATTA